TGACTTCCCGCTTAGCCCTAACGAAGACGTCTTGTGGATGTACCTTTCTACTGCAGCCCGTATAGTTATTGCTAGACACTGGAAAGATGATCGGATACCTGATCTGGAAGAATGGTTAGTCAAAATTTCAGAGTTAAGAGACATGGATAAATTAACCTTTCTGCTGAAATCCAGTTCTGGAAGGCCAATCAAGCAGACAGATTGGTCCAACTTTGACAAATATGAGAAAAAGAAATATGAATCTTAACGGATCTGGAGTAAACTAGAAGAGACACAGATAATTTGTAAGAATAGATAGTAAGGTGCAGGAAAGCCAGGAGATGAATTGTCAACACCTGGAAAGTAATATAGGACACTCTTGATGGAAACTAAATGGAAGTCACCGTCTTCCGCCCGCCCCCTTCCTTTTTGGGGCGGTTGACGAGTAAGGACTCTTGTCTACTGTTGGTGATCGTCTTACTCACACACACCCGTTCCCTTCACTCCCCTTTGCCTGTCCTCCTCCCCCTCTTTTTACCCTTCCCGCCTCCCCTTTTTCCCCTTCTTCTCCCCAGTCCCCCTCCCCTAACCTTTCTTTGTGTATCTGCTTTTGTACTGGTATATTTATTTATTTATTCATTCTATATATGTATAAAACTAATAAAGATTATTTAAAAAAAAAAGAATTATTCCACTGCACCTTCACTATTTACAATAAACTAATGGTAGCATTTTATTGCTAAATAGCACATACCACACTTTCATGAATAGTCTTATACATCAGAAGTTGGATAAAATTATAAGTAAAATCAATCAATGAATGTGAATGTCTTCCTCTTGTTGAAAGTAAAGGGTAGGCACTCTATCCACACCATTAAGATAAAACTCCAGCTGCCCTTCTGTTTACATTAGCCCTCAATTCAGAGCTTGGAGTTCCCTTTTCAGACTTCAAAATCCCCAGCCAGCATGTCCCATAGGTCAAGCATCCAACTCAAGGAGTGATGAATTGTTCCATCCTCTGAATGATTCATTGCTCTTACTGATAGCTATGTCTGTAATGCCATTATATGTAGCAGTATATTGATTGAGTGATTGTTCCCTGTTCTTTGAAGCTATCTGTGGAGTGAGTGTTTGTTTCCAGTTTAAGCTGTATATAAAGGATCTTAACAAATTGGAGAGATGGGCCAAAATTAACAAAATGAAGTTCAACAGTGACAAATGCAAGATACACCACTTAGGCAGAAAAAAATGAAATGCAAAGATATAGAATGGGGGACGCGTGGCTTGAGAGCACTACGTGTGAAAAAGATCTTGGGGTCCTCGTGGACAAGAAGTTAAACATGAGCCAACAATGTCAAGCAGCGGCAAAAAAGCCAGTGGGCTTTTGGCCTGCATGAATAGGAATCTAGTGTCTAGATCCAGGGAAGTCATGCTACACCTGGAATACTGCATCCAGTTCTGGGCACCACAATTGAAGGGAGATGTTGACAAGCAGGATTGTGTCCAGAGAAAGACAACTAAAATGATCAAGGGTCTGGAGAACAAGCCCTACGAGGAATGGCTTAAAGAGCTGGACATGTTTAACCTTCAGAAGAAAAGGCTGAGAGGAGACATGATGAGGGCCATGTATAAATATGTGAGGGGAAGTCATAGGGAGGAGGGAGCAAACTTGTTTTCTGCTGCCCTGGAGACTAGGATGCAGAGCAGTGGCTTCAAACTACAAGAAAAGAGATTCCACCTGAACATTAGGAACTTCCTGACTGTGAGAACTGTTCAGCAGTGGAACTCTCTGCCTTGGAGTGTAGTGGAGGCTCCTTCTTTGGAAGCTTTTAAGCAGAAGCTGGGTGGCCATCTGTTGGGGGTCTCCTACAACTCTATGATTTTATTATTCTATAACACAGAAAGAATGGTGCTGATTCATTTTCCAGCCTTGCCTTCCCTCACCTTGCCTTCCAAGCTTCATCTTCTATGAGTGTATAATTCTCCTCCCATCTCCACAGCTTTGTAAACAGCAAAATTAGAGAACAAAAGCTCAGAATAGTCCCACTCAGAAGAAATAAGCATCTCCAAGGATAAGGAGCTCTTACTCATAAACATTTGAACACTAAACCTTTTAATGGTATAATGGAAGCTTGCCTCTAGTTTTGTTTTTAGTTCAAGGGAAAAGATGTTTCAGAAGTTTGGAAAACAATGACAAAAGCTCTATGGAGTTTCAGGAAAGAAGCAGATTGGATGAGAACGACTCAGAATGACATTTATGAAGGCTGCAGAATGTCTTCAATATTATGAGACTTGGATCAATTAGCAGCCCCCCATTTTCGTCTCTCCCAATAACAACTCGGTTGTACTCCCTGAATTATAGAGTAATAAATTAGAATAACACGCTAGAGAATAATGGACTAGGTCACTCACATGTTCATATTTCACCCACTGTCATTCCTTTTGATGTGGAGAAGGTACGACTCAAGTATTCTCCAAGAAACATCATAACCATAGAAACAACACTTTTATGTTAATCAGCTATCACAAATGCATTTCTATTCTTAAAAGCATATAAGGAACGCTTGATGGACTCAAAAGAACATAATCAAGTGAGACAAGGTAACAGGTGACCCAGAATTTATTTTTATACAACTTAGTCATGTTCCTCTGTTTGTGGAGGGAGGCGCACGGTATATATGTGCATATACGGAAAAGTTTTTGCTGTTAGCTATCACCAGGTAGCAGCAGTAAATTTGACAAGGACATAAAAATAATTGTGAGGAGGTAGAGCTAGCATGGCATAGCGCAGTGGTTTGTGCATTGAACTACAATCCTGGATACCAGGGTTTGAATCTCTGCTCAGCTGTGAAAACTTGCTAGATAACTTGCTAGATAACATTGCCATATAATCCAGATTATCAAAGCAGATAATCCACATTATCTTCTTTGAACTGGATTATATGAGTCTACACTTCAGAGCAGATAATCTTGATTTGATGTGGCAATATAAAAGGGGCTTCAGCCTCAGAAATAACCATGATAGGTTCACTTTATGGTCACCATAAATCAAAAACAAATTGAAGGCACACAACAATTGTGGGACATAGGGCCTAAATAACATGAAAACACCAGATCCTGTCTGATCTTGGAAGTTCAGTAGGGTTTAGTCTCATTAGTACTTGGATGGGAGACCACTAAGGAATGATAGAGCTGTGGGAAATAACTAATCGCAGGTATTCCTTGCCTTGGAAAATCCTGTGAAGTGTATGGCGTCACTGCCCTGGATCATGCTGCTGCCAATGATAGACTTGAAAGAACATATATAGACACACAAAGAGAGAGAGACAGCAGCATGATCCAGGGCAGATTGTATTAACTTCTACAAAGTGGGATTAGAGGAATTTTTAAGATACAGGAAGGAATGTTATGGAACTTTACCCTGCCTAAATTTGATTTCTGAGAATTGCTAATCCCTATACCAGGAGTCCTCAAACTATGGACTGGGGGCCAAATATGGCCCTCCAAGGTCATTTACCCGGCCCTAACTCAGGGTCAGGGTTTCAGACTTAGGTTGACTTAGGATCAACCTAAGTCTGAAACGACTTGAAAGCACACAACAACAACAATCCTATCTCATCATCCAAAAGCAGGCCCACACTTCCCATTGAAATACTAATAAGTTTATATTTGTTAACATTGTTCTTCATTTTAATTGTTGTATTGTTTTTAAGTGTTTTTTGCACTACAGATAAGATATGTGCAGTGTGCATAGGAATTCATTCATGTTTTTTTCAAATTATAATCCGGCCCTCCAACAGTTTGAGGGACTGTGACCTGGTCCTCTGTTTAAAAAGTTTGAGGACCCCTGCCCTATACACTTTTCTCGTTATAGCGTGGTTACTTCTTTTTGCATATCATCACTGCAAAAGCACAATACTTTGCTTTAAATCATCATCTCACCCCCATTTTGGCCAAGTTAGGTGACTTCATTCAGTTTGAGTTGGAAATTGAAGCTAAGGACTCCTCCAGACAGATAAAGGAGGCCGTGGTATTGATAGCTTTGGTTTCAGTTTTCAAAAACACTATCTGTTATCCCATTTCTGTTATCCCAGATTATTTTTTGACAGTTGTGTTCCCACTCTTACATGGGCTTCTTTTTCATTCTGAAACACACCAGAACACTATGTTCCCATCTCCACTTTTCTTTTTGTTCGTTTTTTAGACTTATAGTGCTACAGTGCATCAGTGAAATGACACTTTTGAACTGTAACTCTGTATCTCTCAAAAGCATTTTTTTTAAAATCAGAAGAACTTTCAAATCATCTCAGCAACTCATATCCCTTTGGATAAAAACCTTTGGAAAATCGCTAATTTAGATCCAGAAAGGCAGCATTAGCAGTCATTAAATGACTGAAACAAGTAAGTACAGATTAGACAACAATTATCAAAGTACAATGAGTTTCTTATATAGCAGAACCCCATTCTGCTATATAAGAAAACACAGTCAAAGCATTCCAAACAGATGGTCAACTAGCCTCTGTTTAAAAACCTCCAGAGAAGGAGATTCCACAATATTCTGAAGCGGCATATTCTAATGTTAATTAGCTCTTACTGTTATAATGTTTTTCCTAATATTTAGATGGAATCCTTTTGCTTGCATTTTGAATGCATTGCCTCATGGTCTGGAGCAGCAGGAAGCAAGCTTTCTCCATCCTCAGTTTGGCATCTTTTCAAAAACTTAAAATAATAACTGTTAGGTCCAGTCTTAAACTTCTCATCTCCAGGCTAAACATACTCAGCTGCCTAAGCAACTCCTTGTAGGGTTCCAATCCTTTGGTCGCCCTTCTCCGGACACGTTCTGGCCTGTCAATATCCTTCTTGAATTATGGTGCCCAGAACCTTGAATCTCCTGTTCTCAAGTGTCAAAATGTTCACCACAGTGTAAATATTTGCAGAGAAGCCTGTGTTTGCAAATTCACTGAATAGAAGATGTATGTCTGGCCAAGGAAAGGTAATATATGCAACTTCTTGTTTTCCAGAGGCAAACACAAAATTATCAAATCCAGATACACTATCAAAGGCCCAAAGCAGAAGATACAGAACCTTGCAGCCAGGGCAAAACTGAGCATGTTGGCGTTCAATGTGATGATTTGCCTGAGCCCATTGACAGGAGTGACCACTTTATGGAGAAACTTCAGTCAACTGTGAGCGAAATTGCAGAAAGCAGGAACAGGTTGCAAGAGGAAAATCTAAAATTCCGCCAGGAAGTAAAAATGTACCAGAGGAGGTGCCAGGTAAGGAGGGGCAACCTGTTACGGGTGAGAGAGCTGCTTTGCAACATTTGATGTGAAATAAGCTGATGTTCAAGGTTGGTTGTAAAACATCTAGTGGAATTTGTGAATATTGGGAATTTTGTGGCTGGATGACTTTATGAAAGATTGAAATACTGTAATATAAATGTATGCATCTAGACATGTTAGTTAAACCAAATAAAAAAAAACCCTGAATTGTCTTATGGGTCAATGTAAGCAAGTACTGAACTGTAACTCATAAAAATCCACATTTTCCAAGTAGGGTGTTGAAAGGTATGAGCCTTCTCCAGCCCAGCAGAAGCTAAAAGAAGCATCAATCCCTTCTAAATCTCTCCACAATTGTCTTTTTGAATACCTGTGTAAGAAAATGGTAGTAGTCAGGGGTAACTTGTCCCCTCAGTTTTTTACCTCTGTTTGGAATGACCTTTGACTTATCTGCGTATCATATCAAAATCCTTAATTTTGACGCAAAACCTGTCTTCGCCTTATTCATGAGGCTAACTTATGTATGAGTATATACAGTATTGGTGCTCCATGCAGTCATGTTGGCCTTGGAGGCATCTGTGGACAACGCTGGCTATTCAACTTAGAAATGGAGATGAGCATCACCCCACGGTTGGACGCGACTAGACTTAATGTCAGGGGAAACCTTTATCTTTTATATACAGTATATGTTAATATGTCTGACAATGCCCAGAGGAAATGCAAACTTTGGTACTTCTTATTTGCCCTTCATATGAAATTACACAAAGCATCTGTATGAGATCTGCATTAATGGAGTAGAAAAACACTGGGGGAATGATACATTTTGAATGTGAAATGTATCCTGGTTTTTTAAAAGTTTGTGTCCAGTCTTAAAGAGTAAAACTCTTGCTAAATCCTGGAGATGTCTCTCATAGAACTATTGGGACTTTTCAATGCAATACCAATATATGCATTCTTCCATGTAGAAGGAAAGGCATGTTGGAGCTGTCTTGTTGTGAGGAATGGCTCACAACAGACATGGAGATTTTGTTTTTGCCTTTTGTAACTCTTGCCATCTTTCTGATTTATATTTGTCAGTTTCCCGCAACTGTACAAACCATCTAACCAAAGAGAGCTGGGCTGCCTGCCAAGCGTATAGAAAAAGAGTCTTTGCTTAGCTTCTGTTTTTCTTTCACACTTTAATACAATAGAAGGAGCGGCTGAGGGAGAAGTACCAGCAGCTGTCCTAAATACTGCCTGGGACAGATGGCAAGAAAGACAAGAGGCTGAAACTAAGTATTGTGGCAAACCCTGAGCTGCCGCCAAAAATAACTGTACATCACCCCCTCTTTCTCTGTCCCTATTGTAGCCTGGAAAAATAAAACACTGCCCTGTTGCAAATTCCCCCACTTCTCTTTATTGGTTGCTGCACCTATGATGGATAAGATAGCAGTGGAGAACTGCCATAGCAGGCAATTTGTGCCACTAAACGTTACCAGAAAGAAGTTAGAACAAGTTGTAGAGCTGCTACGTCCGACAGCATTCCCATCACATCTCAGTCCTTGAGATGAGTTGACATTTTTTTTTACAATGCAGCCAATATCTGCCAATATTCTCTGCTGTCTCTTTGTTTAAACTGTCCATTCCTATACCCCCCAAAGCAGTGGTGTCTTCCATGTCAATGCAGCAGGAAGTTGGGTTGGAGTACACCATAGTCTAAAATTTGAAGGCGCTATTCAGGCTGCTGCATCCTTACCTCTTCCTTTAGCTCCTTCCTTGCACAAAATCTCTATATGGTTTTGTTATGCTACTGACATGAAGAGACTCAAATACATTTCAAGACATTGGCCAAGATCCTGTAACAGTTGTCTCGGTCTGACAAAAACAGCACCAATTATCTTTCTGCTGCCCCATTTTCTCAGCTCCTTTTGAAATATCCTAGTTTATCTCTTCTTTTCCCTTCTTTCTCCTTTGTTTTCAACTCATTTCAGTTGCTGTGAACAGAGTTCAGACCGTAGAATGTGAAGAAATGTGTAACTATTTTGTCTGTAGGTGACAATAGAGGTAGCAATGGCTGGCTGGGCTTCCTTGGTGTGTCCTTCTTCATCTTATTTACTCTATTGTTCACCGATAGAGAAGTTTTGTCATCACCCCTTCTCTCACACTTTTGCCACTCATAGTCATGTTGCCAGTGCTAGCAAACACTATTTTTCTGTCTTTCCCCCCAATGTCACTTTTGTATAATCTTTCTTATCACAGAAGATTGTCTTTTGATGCTTCCAAATGCCTGGATGTCATGGCTATAATTTGCACCATTTCAACTGTGCAGATGTCACTATTTGACTCTGGAATATCACAGCTGACAAGCAGCATAAAGCTCTAGCCATCCCTCAACCATTTTAGAATATTTTTCAAAGTATTTCACTCATCCAGAAGCAGCACATACATGCTCTGTACCAAAAACTTATAGAATCATAGAATCAAAGAGTTGGAAGAGACCTCATGGGCCATCCAGTCCAACCCCCTGCCAAGAAGCAGGAATATTGCATTCAAATTACCCCTGACAGATGGCCATCTAGCCTCTGTTTAAAAGCTTCCAAAGAAGGAGCCTCCACCACACTCCGGGGCAGAGAGTTCCACTGCTGAACGGCTCTCACAGTCAGGAAGTTCTTCCTCATGTTCAGATGGAATCTCCTTTCTTGTAGTTTGAAGCCATTGTTCCGCATCCTTAATATATGGGAGCATATATTAAGTTTTTAAGACCCAAAGTGGAAATATTAGTGAGGCATGGATTTATAATGGCTGCTCTGCCACAACATACTGCAAAAACATAATCTGAGGGAATTGTACCACCTTTTTAAGGTTCCTAATTGCATCCTCTACAAGCAAATGGCAATTCTCTTTTCCTTGGAAGAAGGGAAGAAGAGCTGTAAACTCGTAAAGAGGAAGAACCTTGCCCTTCACACAAACTACATTGTAGGAGAGGATTCCCCCCTATGAAATAGACCTTGCTAGTAGATTCTGATCACACATTGTTATCTGTCTTGAGATTGTAGTTGGAAAAAATCATAAATTTCTCTGGGCCTCACATGTTTGCTCTCCCTCCTCTTTTCTCACAGTCAGGAGACATGAAATAACTAAGGGTGATCATCTCATCTTTACACAGTCTTCCACAGGATTAAAACTTTCTTAAAGATCTATATATTGGGGTTTTTTTTAGAACCAGTGAACTGTAGTGGTTTGAATGCTGAACTAGGACTCTGGAAAACTAGAATTCAAATTTCTGCTCAGCCATAGAAACCCACTGTATGACCTTGGGCAAGTTATGCTCTCTCAGCCACAGAAGGCAGCAAAGACAACCCACCTCTGACCAAATCTTGCCAAGAAAACACTACTTGATTTGGTCATCTTAGGGTAACCATAAGTCAGTAATTAGTTGAAATGTTTTTGCTGTTAGCTGTCACTTGGTAGCAGTATTTATTTATTTATTTATTTATAGCATTTTTATTCTGCTCTTTTCAACCTGAAGGCGACTCAGGACGGCGTACAGATTAGCAACAATTAGATGCTACAACATACATGCATACATACATAACAGTTAAATCATTTAATATCACATAATAAAAATCCATATAAAACCATTAAAATGTAATAATCAATGTCTTCCAGTTCAACTCCTTATCCATTTACATCATTTAAGACGTTCCATGTTCGTTATTTCATCATACTGTGTTTATCTGGTAACACTGCGTTTCTGAAAGCTTGCTCAAAGAGCCAGGTTTTTACTCTTTTCCAAAATGTCAGGAGGGAGGGGGCCGATCTAATATCCCCAGGAAGGGAGTTCCACCTCCAAGGGGCCACCACTGAGAAGGCCCTGTCTCTCGTCCCCGCCAAGCGTGCCTGCAAGGAACGCGGGATTGAGAACAGGGCCTCCCCAGACAATCTTAAATTCCTGGATGGTTCATAAGGAGAAATACGTTTGGACAGGTAAGCTGGGCCAGGACTGTTTCAGAGCTTTATAGGCTAAAACGAGCACTTTGAATTGTGCTCGGTAGCAAACTGCGAGCCAGTGGAGCTGGCGCAACAGTGGAGTTGTATGCTCCCTGAGCACTGCTCCTATTAGTAACCTGGCTGCCGCCTGCTGGACCATTTGAAGCTTCTAAACAGTCTTCAAAGACAATCCCACATAGAGAGTGTTGCAGTAGTCTATACGGGATGTAACCAGAGCGTGGACTACTGTGGCCAAGTCAAACTTCCCAAGGTACGGGCGCAGCTGGCGCACAAGCTTTAACTGTGCAAATGCTCCCCTGGTCACTGCCGAAACCTGGGGTTCCAAGCTCAGCAATGAGTCCAGTAAAATTGATTGGGACATAAAATATTATGTTGTTAAGTAAGTCTGCCATAGAGTGTTGAAGAATAAGAAAGTACTTTTTTACAGTTGTATAGTGCATTTTTTTATATTCGAACTCTCAAATTTTGCTCTTCCAAGTGTTTTGGACTTCAGTTACAAGAATCCCCAGCCATCTTACCAAAGGAATAGATTCTGAGAGCTGGTGTCCAAAGCATCTAGAGGACCAAAAGCTGAAAACTACTGGCATAGAAAATAAAATTCCAACAGGCACAGCCTCCCTTTTCTGCACAATTGTTAAATATACTGGGGCTCTTGCCCTCTTTTTTCACCCAGCTGACCTACATATAAGATGAAGGTGCATGAATCAACCTTAGGGCAGATCCTTTATGTTTGAGTGGGTCTTAGTCTGCTCTAGTGGAAAGTCTTTTAACTATGTGGGGCAGTGGTCCATGAATTGCCCTTTTGTAAATTTGCACAAAGTTCATGGCTCTTTGACTCAGTGCCATTAATATCCCAGCTCCACTTCGATTCATCCCCAACTGTTAGACTGTGTAGAAATAGCATTCAACAGATCTCTAAAAGGCTCCATCTCAAGACACTTGTTTTCAGTGCAGTGGCTCATTTCTGTTGTGATGAGTCACCACAACTATTTTCGTAACTTATAGAAGCTTGGCATTTAAGTTTGAAATGTACCCAAATAAATGGAAGCAATAACGCCCACATTCACATATTCCAAACTTCTGATACTGAAACCTGCAACCTTTATCTAGCTCTTGTTGATGGATAGTGTGTGGTTCCTGACATAATTTAGTTTGTTATTAGCATATGGCATGGCTTACGTTGTGGATATTGCTGCTGTCAGTTATCATACTTAAATTAAAAGTGCTGTAAACATATTTATGTTTAGGAAACGATAATTACATACCAACACTGGCTTAACAGAAATTTCCTCTTCCCAGAAAATTTTAATATCGTTAACACACTTAAGTTTGCCTTGTAGGCTTCCCATAAGCATATAATAGATAGATTAGCTCTGCATCTCAACAACAACAACATTTTATTATGGTCTAAAGACCCTTATTGCACCATAGGTGTACAAGGTATGCAGGTAATAAGATTTAGAGCACCCAGTTGATTAAACACACAAATGGATAAAATTTACAACAGTTAAAAACTGCTTAAAATACATGTTCGCTAAAAACATAAGTAAAAGTCTACAAGAAGTACCGGCATGTTTAAGCCTGCGTCTAAAATTGGGAATTGTCTAATCCTGGCTGCCTCAGAAAGAAACTTGGCAACCACCAAGGTCACATGGGGAAGGTTGTCACTAAGTAGAAACTTCACTGGACTTGCTGGTAAGCTTCTTAGTAGGGAGTTGATTATGTCTGCTTGGGTCTGTTCATAGAAACTGCATGACAGTAGAATGTGGTAGATGCATTCTACTTCCTGTTTGTTACATGGGCAGAATCTTTCATTAGATGGGGTACCTGCAAATCTCCCATGCAGCAATTAAGGTGGGACCACATTGCACCTTGCTTTGGAAAATAGGGAGCAGTATTTGGCCGCAGTCACGTTCTTTCATTAGTTTGCTGCCTGGAAAGGTCCAGCATAATGTATGGACAGGGCACTAGGGGAGCAAGATACATAAGAGTGAGAGCGCAGCTCACAAAAGCCAATGTCCCACAGTCTCTGAATTAATTTGAGAGCCATGTCAAAACCCAGATAAGTTAGTAAGGATGCAGAAAGGCCAATGGAGGAAGCTTTCTTAGAATTGATCTTAAACCAACTGCTCCATAAGCATATGGTGGTAACTATGTAAAACTAATCCTGATTTATATGTGTTTTTAGTCTGATTCAACATGGAACTTCTTATGTAGCGAAAGACATTAAGTAGAGAAGGGATTCTAATATCAAAATTTTCACCAAAATACAATTTCCAGTTTTCTTTGGAGACACCATGACAGTTAAACTGGTATAAAACAAAGATACACCTATACTATAGATATGTGGATTAGAAAAGTATTGTTGTATTGATCTGTGATTCTTGGGAACTAGAGTTCAAATCCTCATTCGGCCATGGGAACACTCTGGATAACAACAAGAACAACAACAACAACTTTATTTTTATACACCACCTCCATCTCCCCGGAAGGACTCGGGGCAGCTTACATGGGGATGAGCCCAAAACAAACATGGTTAAAATATAGCATACAAAAATATAAAAACAGCAATATAAATCAGAATAAAACAGCAACATTATAACATAAGTGCAACCATCAAACCAACAACCAATGAACCTGCAATAATAAACAATTTCTGGGCATGACCTTGGCCAAGTCACATTCGCTCATCCTCAGAGGAAAGCAAAGAGTACAAATCTTGCCAAGAAACCCAGTAATATATTTGCCTTAGAGTTGGAAGTCAGAAATGACTTGAAAGCACATAACCCCAGTAATATAAAGAAAGAAGAAAAAGACTTTATAGAACAGAGCAAAATGGGAATCAGAATTAAGAATAAATTAAAATACCTGGGAGTAATAATAACAAAGGATTTAAAAGGAATGGAAGAGGTAAATGTAGTAGCATTGAGAAAAATTGTTCAAAAAATTAATAGAATATGAAAATATACCTATATCTTGGTTTGGAAAGTAATGTAATGCCCATGTCTTTCTGGTGAAGATGTTAAGACACAAAGGCCATGGTTAATTTCTTGAATTAACCTAAGGGTGGTCCTTCTTGAACATAAAATTGCTGTAATCATGCCAATGAATGGTGCTGGATTTAAAGGCCAATACTGTATGTACTTTTTCAGAAGCAAATATTACTTTCAAATCAGATTTATTTCAAAGTGAGTGTGCATAGGACTCATTCTAAATTGTTTTATTGCTTTGTAACTTTTTTTTCAGAGAGAGGCTTTTAAGTGAACATCTTAGGAGAATGATAAAAAAAGAAATGAATAATGAAACAATTAAAGCTGTTTTTCCCTATAAAATAAGCTCTTTGCATTCCACAGAATATCAGAATTGGGGTACACTTGATTCATTAGTGTTTTAAGAATTCTTAACAATATGCAGCATTGCTGTGTCTGGGTAAGCTGTTTTGAATATACTGTTGGATTTCTTTAGACTATCGAAGCCAAGCTTACAGAAGCGACAAATGAACTGAAGTCACGGAACGATCTATTGAATATGATGCAACTGGAATTCCAGCGGTTGCGTCAAGAAGTAACCAGACTTGAAGAGCTTAGTAGCATAGAAGAAAATCATGTAAAGTAAGTAATGAAATGTAAGGCTGCATTATGCAAGTGGATGGCCTGGGAGCTTTTTGTTTTGTTTTGTGTTTTTGGTTGTTGTTTTTTTTTTGTTTGTTTTTGTTTGGTTTGTTTTGTTTTTTGCTGTGAAGGTGGAGGTAAGTCCCACTAAGTGGAAATACAATTACTCCTAAGTATGGACAACATCCCAGCCTGATTTACTTCCTCCCTGCCTTCTAGTGTGACCCAGAGCAATATGAAGTACAGTCAGCTCCCTGTAGCCACGGATTCCATATCCACAGATTCGTCCACTTATGGCTTTATATTTTTTAATCCAAATAGCAAAGCTCACTTTTGCCATTTTATATAAGGGACATCATTTTATTATGCCATAGAATGTAATGGAACTTGATCATCCAAGGATTTTGGCATCCACAAATGTTCCTGGAACCAAACTCTAGGAGATACCAAGCGGTCACTGTATATTTTACATCAACAAATCAAATCATATTTATTTCACCTGGGTTTTTCTTTTTAAGGCCTTAATCCTTTGCCCTCTCTGGCAGCCAAAGAAATTTTTGTCCAAACAGCCTTTTAATCTGTAATTACTCTTAGGAAGGAAATTGGGTGTGCGCTCTATTTTTAATGTGTCCTTTTAAAACCATTTTATAATTTTGTAATTGTGTGATTTAAATTGATTTTACCTGTGCGCTGATTTGCGTCCCACTTTGGGAGAAAATCAGCATATAAAATAAATAAATAAGCCCAGTACAAACCGGTTTCACACAATCAAGTGTTAACAGCTATATGCTAAACAGTGCCTATTTTGTTTTTTGTTTTTTCTGTATTGCTCTGATTCTACGAGGCCATCAATTGTAAGATACACACTAATTTTAGTACCACCAACAGGGGGGGGGGAAGCTTTAAGAAAAGCATCTGTAATTATAAGACACACCCCGTTTTAGAGATATTTATATGGGGAAAAGTACATCTTAGAGTTGAAGAAATAGGCTAATATAATTACTATAGGCATGATTCAGTTGAAGGTCCTCCTGTTCATTGTAGTCATAGCATAGAAAAATAGAATGAATAGTAGGCTTGTGCATGGATTCGATTTGACTAATTCAGCTGGTCTGGCTTGTTCGGATGGCTGTAATTGGGAGGGCTCAGCCTCCATGTTTTTTCTGGCCGCAACAGAACAGCAGCTGTCAAAAACTGGCCTGTGGTTACAAGTGGAGTGTGGAAGGGAGGCAGCCGCTAGAAGGAAAAGTGTGGGGAAAGAAAAGGCACTACTCCGTAGCCTGCAAGAAAAGAAAAGAGAGGGTTTTTTTTAAGGAAGCCCAGGATAGGATAGCATCAGGTCAGCCATGCTTCCTTCCCTTGGAAGTGGGAAAGCCTCCTTAAAATTTATTTATTTATTTATTTACCGCTTTTCTCAGCCCTCAAGCGACTCAAAGCGGTGAACAACACTGATACAAAACATCGCGAGACAAATATAGGGCAATTAAAAACAATTGTAACATAAATAATTAACATCAGAATAACAATCATTAGCGCCTCAACAGTAAAATCAGAATCCAGTCTCATCATCCATTATTCCATTCCTATGTTCAATTACAGTTTAATCAAATGCTTGTTCGAACAGCCAGGTCTTCACTTTCCTCCAGAATGCCAGCAGGGAGGGGGGCGATCTGATATCTGCAGGCAGGGCATTCCACAGCCGAGGGGCCACCACTGAGAAGGCCCTGTCTCTCATCCCCGCCAAGCGCGCCTGTGATGCAGGCAGGACAGAGAGCAGAGCCTCCCCAGATGATCTTAGTCGGTTCATAGGAGGAGATGCGCTCAGAGAGGTAAGTAGGGCCAGAACCGTTTAGGGCTTTATAGGCTAACACCAGCACTTTGAATTGTGACCGGTAGCAAATTGGCAGCCAATGGAGCTGGCGCAACAGAGAGTAGTATGCTCTGCCCTGGAAAGCTTCATGGTGTAGGGCGAGAGCACTGCACGTGCGCCTATCTCCTCTAAAGTAGAAACAGCTTTAATGAAGCATTAAACCTGGCCTCCTCTATAGACAGAAGGGAAGGGAAGGGATCGCAGAAAGGGTGGTATTTTAACTCTGATACTTTTAATCCAGATCTTAATGAAGGATATAAGGACAAACAATGTCTAAAATGACAGGAAGCGAGCCTGGGAAATGCCCATCCCCCCCCCCCCCCCCAAAAAAAAATGGGTCAGATAGAAAAAGAATTTTTTGGCTTCCCAGGTCGAAAACTCCCAAATTTGGGAGGTTTCCGAAAAATGGATTAGGGTCCCCACCAAAATTGAGACGCCAAAACGGATCACAGTTTACTCAGATTGCATAAGCCTAATGAATAGGAGTGCCTTCTGAAGAATAAGAACAAGGGGATATTTTAGTGGAATGTGCTTTTTTCCTTTTTCTTTCTATATTTATCATAAAGGAGCTGCTCACTGTTGCATATAGTACAGTTTCAAAAAAGCTATCAAGAGTCCCCGAACTCTTTGGTGGTGTGGCAAGGAGGGAGACGTAATGATATGTATGAGTAAAACAATAGATAATTGAACAGGATGATAAGGAGTCTGGGAAATTCCTGGAGACATCAGTCACTCATTTTATTCTTTGGAATTGCTACTTTTTCACTTGTCTTCTTTGCCAAATGAGCAGCAGTTGAGTGGGGAAAGGGCTCAGCAGTAGTGGCTTGTCTCTTGTGGATGATGAGATGTCACTGACTGAGCTGATGGGAAGAGGACAGCTGAAAGGCCAACAATGAGAATCCCATTGAAGGATTAGTTGAAGTTCTCTGAGAAATTGAACCAATTGTCCATGACCTCCAGAAGTCTTTTGCAAAGTTTCTCTATTTGAATCAAGTTGTTGTTACAAAACGTGCATTACAAAATCTAGCAAAGTTCACATAGATGTAAGTCGCACTGTATGCATTTAGGCTTATAGTGTGATCCTATACATGTGTCATTGTGATCCGTAGGGCTTGTTCTCATACCACAAACATGGTGTTAATGGTCTAAGTTCTTAGACTTACATTTGCCACCTTTTTTTCCTTCCCCTAAAATGTAAAAAGTCCTTCCTTGTGGATTTTAAGGATTTTAACTTTAAGAATTTGAACTGTTTACTTTTTAATACCATTAATATGTGATTCTATTTTAATGTTTGAATATTTTTAGGTTTTAATTGTATTTTATTTTGGTTTTACTGTAAGTCGCTTTGAGTCTCTTTTGTGGAGAGAGAAGGCAGGGTATAAATAAACACAATAAACACAAAACAACAAAAACAATAAAAACAATAATAGTAATAATAATAACAACAACAACAATCCACTACTTATTACACCCACATAGGGATTTCGACAGACTTTACATGCCCAGAAAATCAGGCAGAGGGCTTTGCAAGTGAAACAAATAGTAGAAGAAGAGAAACATGCACTGGCAGATTGTGTGAAAGGCAGTCAAGAGCCAACATTAATGGAAGTAAATAGTAGAAAACTGCTTAAAGTGCAAAAGACGAAGAGTGAATACCGTAAAAAAATACAATGCAAAGCAGAAGAGAAAATTGGCAAAAGAAGGTTCTCCATGGACAGATCCTGGGAAAATTAAAAGCAAAATTAACAAGGAAAAAACATGGATGTGGCTCACAAATGGAACTTTGAAAAAGGAGACCGAGGGCCTGATTCTTGCAGCCCAAGAACAAGCAATTAGAACAAATGCCATCAAAGCCAGAATTAAAAAGTTGACTACAGATTCCAGGTGTAGACTCTGCAAGTAAGCAGATGAAAGGATGGATCACATAGTCAGTTGCTGCAAGAAGATTGCACAGATGAACTACAAGCAGAGGCATAACACTGTTGCTCAGATGATCCTTTGGAACTGTGACATTTGCCTGTGACAAAGAACTGGTGGGATCACAAGCCTGAAAAGGTTACAGAAAATGAACATGTAAAACTACACTGGGACTTCCGAATTCTGACTGACAGAGTTTTGGAACACAATGCTCCTGACCTCACGATCATGGAAAAAAACAAAGCATGGATCATCAGTGTTACAATCCCAGGTGACAGCAGAATTGACAAGAAGCAACTGGAAAAGCTTACATGACATGAGGATTTAAAGATAGAACTGCAAAGACTCTGGCACAAGCCAAAAAAGTGGTCCCAGTGGTGATCGACACACTGAGTGCAGTGCCTAAAGACCTTGGCCAGCACTTAAAAACAATTGGTGATGACAAAATTACCATCTGTCAGCTACAAAAGGCCACCCTACTGGGATGTGCATGCATTATTTGAAAATACATCACACAGTCTTAAAAACTTGGGGAGTGTCCGACGTGTGATCGAATACAAAAGCCAGCATAGTGATCTTGATTGCTGTGTACTAATTTTGTTGAATATCAAATAATAATGTACTGTTTGCAAAACTATAGGTAGCAGATGTTCATTTTCTTTCTTAATTCAGACTGAGGAGAAGTTTTATACTTGTGTCAAAAAAGCTTTGTTTTTAGCACATATTAACAGGAATAATTTCCCACCCCCCAAACATTCTCCTGTGCTTCTGCCTGCATTTGCTGGTTGGAAGGAGGGCATTACACGAGCTTTTCATTTTTGAAATGTATTTCTTTGTCTTGACACACTACTAGGAAGTGCTAACACAGGTTGGGAATTAATGCCAAAAAACATTAGTGACCTACATACACAATTATGTTCCATACAATTCGAAAAAAGTACTAAACCAATAAAACAAAATAAAGCAATAAAATGGCCACAGAATTTTGGTGGTCACCCTCCTAAGTCAAATCTTGTTTTCTTTTTTAGCCGAACAATGCACAAGGTGTGCTTTTTCATTACAAGTACAGTCCCAGGATGCATCACTAAGTGAGAAAGAAGGTTATGAGATTAATTTTGAAACACAGCAATTACCACTCCAGGTGTAAACATGTCTACCTTAATTTCAAAAATTGGAGTGTATGAGATTCCCAAAGTTTTCCTTAATAAGAGATTTAATGTCTGTCTAGGTCATAGACTTCTATTCTTTAGAAAATTGGCTGTATTTAGGAATTCTCTGTTCACTTGGAGTTATTTGAGTTTTGTAATGTTGGTGTTTTAATGAAGTTAGAGTTGTAACACTTTTGTGGTTCTTTTTTCCAGGCTTCAATCATCTTATGCTCAATGTGTCAAGGACTTGGAAATCAAGAAAGCTCAGATACTTTTCTTGGAGAGACAGCAGCAAAATCAAAAGAGAGAGCTAAATCAGGTATTTCCTATTAGAAACATTTTACTATCTGTTGTAAATTTTATTTTGTAATATATGACAAAATTATGACCTATAATGTACAATTTACACCACGTTGGAAGAAATGTGAAGTTGTTTCTGTTGCATGTACTCAGTTGCAGCAGGGGAGAGGTGGGAAAACAAGCAACACACCAAATGCCATCAGATTTCATCTCCCACCATATCCCTACATTGGCTATTTTGGATAGGGCTGGTGGGAGGTATTGTTGAATAATATTTGGAGGGACATGCATTCTTCATTCCCACAAAGGACAGGAGGAGATATTTCAAATGGACTTGGAGAAGTATGTGAGGGGGGGAAGGCAATGTTTCAGAGAGTACCACTGGACCTATGGGTCAACCAGGAAAAAAGGTGGCAATCTATTGAGGGAAGAGCAGAATTTATGATGATGAGAAGGATGGTGGAGTCATGGGACTTGTCTACACTGGCCACTTAATCTGGGGACAGTCTGAGACAGGAATGCTCTGATTGGCCGTGGAGGTGGCCACATACTCCATCACCAACTTGCAGTTGAACAAAGTCTATCTGGGCAAAACAGACAAAGAATGCTTTCCCCCCCCCATTGATGACAACCTTACTGTCAGTTTCACCATCTCCACTGCCAAATGGTGCAAGACTCCACAGGAATTACAGGCCATTGCTGATGACCATGTGTCAAAGGAGAAAGAGGGGACCAACCCCACCTTGCCCTGGACACATAGATGCTTTGGCTGATGTCAACATGAGGTGGCCACAGTGATCAGGAGCTCTGCAGACATCTAGGAGCAGCAACACACTTTCTTCTTTCACTAAGAAAAGAAGATGGTGAGCAGTCCTGCTGTTCACACTGTGCCAGAGCCATAGGATAGTCCATCCAGAGTTTCAGGCAAACTCTGAAGCAACCCCCACCTTCTCTTAACCAGTTTACTCCACAATAAGTACCAGAGTTTCCAGAACATAGTTGGGACAGCCAGGAGTGACTACACATTGAGTGTGAACTCTTAAACCCATGTAGACAAGCTATGGTCACATAGAGAGGTATGCACAGGATGTAAGATGAGAGGATCAAAGGTGGGAGCAGAGGCATGAAGTACTCTGAAAGTAAGCAATTATTTAATTAAGTAATGCCTAGGCTTTGTGGTTGCATTCTCTCCTGGGAGGCAGAGAATGCACAAAAAGTATAGACTTATCACAAAAGAGACAAAACTTCAATTCCTGAGTATACTAAAGCTATCAAGTGAGATATAAGATAAATAAATATACAAATACATAGTAATTGAAATAGGTGTATTGTATTTAGTGCACAGGCACTAAAAGAATTGTAATAGTGAATTATCCTTAGGTCTTTGGTGCTCATTGTGCTAGTCGGTGGTTTTTAGTTGTCCCATTTAAAAATCGCTTCACATGCACTTGCAAAAGTATCTGAATGCTGACAATGTATATCCACCTCACAGTGGCACAGTGGGTTAAACCCCTGTGCTGGCAGGACTGAAGACCGACAGGTCGCAGGTTCGAATCCGGGGAGAGGCGGATGAGCTCCCTCTATCAGCTTCAGCTCCCAATTGCAGGGACATGAGAGAAGCCTCCCACAAGGATGATAAAAAAACATCAAATCATCCGGGCGTCCCCTGGACAATGTCCTTGCAGACAGCCAATTCTCTCACACCAGAAGCAACTTGCAGTTTCCCAAGTCGCTCCTGACACGACAAAAAATAACAACAAAAAAACCCATAAGTTAGAAATGACTTGGAGACACATAACAACAACAATATTAATATAACAGTGGTGTGTGATAAGCTCCCTAGAAGAGTAGCTGCCTGTTTTTGTAAGGAAATGCCCAGCAACAAGCTATTGTTTCCTTCTTTATGTTAATTAGTCTCAACCCTCCCTATGCTATGCAAAGCATGTATATATATGTAGTATGCATGAACATGTGTGTGTGTATGGTCAGAGTTACACTTTAAACTGTCCCTGTTCTGACTTACATACAAATTCAACTTAAGAACAAACCTACATAACCTATAATGTTCATAACTTGGGGAATGCCTAGGTTCCTTTCCTATAGGCTATATCACCCCGTGGGTGTAAACATGGAAGTAAACTGAAAATATCCAGAAGCTTCTTCCAGTTTCAACCCCACATCCTCAGTTTTTGCTTTTATAAGTTGCAACTTGGATGAGTGACATGAATAGAAAGTTAAATCCTTTCGGTACATTTCCAGGAGTGTCAATCCTCTTTTTTGACTGTTTAAAAAATAAAGTGTGGGAGGATTAAAAAAAACCTGGAGTAGAGGAGTAATAAAATAAATGTGTGAGGGGAAATAGAAAGAACTCCCATAACAGTATCTTGTTGCAATGTTTAACTTTCAAAGATACAGATAGAAGAAATGACTCTGACATGAAGCTACCAGTTTTTTTCTTTATAGTTGTTGTTCGCTTGGTTACTTATGTGCTAATGCCGTGTGCGGCCATTACTTTGCACTCTGCTGGACTTTGTTGTATAATTACTTTTAGAAAATCAATTTACCAAAAAAGGGAGAAAGAAAGAATGGCCATATATCTTTCCTACTTGTTACATCCATTACTAATCTTCTCCAAGGAATCTACAATTAAAGTCTAATGGCTAGGCATCATGCAGTGAGCCAGTTGCCAAGAAAACTCTAAGAAATCAGCGACAGCTTGACACTCTTTCTGATACCTAGACAATTTTTGTTGTCTGGTTGCCACTGAAAATCACATCTCAGGGTGTTACCCTTCATTGTGATTGAATTCATACAATAGCATGATGAGAGGAGCTGCACCAAACACCTGAAGTCACATCTAAATTGAAGAGAATTTTAAATAATGCAAGATTTAGTAGCTTTAATGGCAAAGTACTAAAACTAGAACATCTTTTGTTCCTACTTAAGATTGCAGTCTCAATGTGTACGTACTCCATAAGGTTTATGCCTAATAAATGTTAATACTAGCATTTATTACCTCCCAACTTTTCTTTGAAAGTAAAGGACTAGTTAGATACAAAAAAAAAAACCTGGATGATTATGCCTCATGTTATTAAATGGAAGCAACATGGATGCATTTCAGAGTATCTTTGTGTTGTAGTACAGCCTGAGGCTGATGGGTTCACTATTGATTTAGAGGGGATTGTGGGATTTTCTGGGGCACAAAGTGATGAAGATTCAAGTCAGGGAAATGATGGTTCTATGCTGGGAGAAATCTGACCCAGAAAGTGCAGGGCTTCAAGGTCAGTCAGAGGAGCCAGAAACTGCAACTTTAGAAAAGGAGTCCAGTGAAGAGCTAAGTGATACAGAAGGCTCTCAGGGAAAAACACCTAGAGCTATGGAGATCAACAAAAGTCTTCGATTACAGAGCAGAAAATAGGCAACGCCAGTCCGAGTGCTTACATGGGAAAGCTGGGGAGAAAATTCAAGGGAAAAGGAATGACTTCATGGATGCCTATTAATTAGCAAGTTGTTTACCTAAGGGTTAGTTCAGGCAACATAGCATTTGAGTGAGAAGCTAAGCCTGAGTTCTATGGTTCTTGTTTCAAGTCAAGCCTTGGTTTTGTATTTATTCTGGAAGTTTTCTGTGTTCTTGGTTTTGTATTCTTGCTCAAGTTTTACTAAGTATACCTTTTGCTTGTGGACTTATGCTGTACTTGTGAATTTTTGGTTATTCCTGGACTTATGTTACCTTGGAATCTGCATGAGATGTTTGGATTACTGTTTGGTTATTACCTATTGCTAACTTTTCTTGGATATCTTCTTTATTCCTGATTTTTCAATATATTTTATGTGTTTTTACAATAAACAGTTACTCTGGACTCTTGTGTGGTACTGTGGTCATAGGTGTTTCCAGGCCTGGGGTACAACCCTTTGTTCATATCATGTCCACTTAATGATATGGGATGTGATGATCTATCGCCTGCTGAATTTGCAGATCTGGACCCCATGGATCCAGAGGACCCAAATATAATGATAAAATTGCCAAGAAGTGATTGATTTCATGGATGCAAGAAGCCAAAATACAGCTGAGTGCCATTCAATTGGTTATTTTCATGTTGGCATCTAGACAAATAGCATTGTTCTAAGTAATAGGAGGATTTTTTGCAATCGCACTATTTGTTATTGGCAGAAAAGGAATGGAGAGCCATAGTCTTCTTGATACTCGTAAGAGAAAGCAGAACAGTGCAGGGGGAAAAGACTTTGAAGGCTACATTTAATAGTTTAGAACAACCTATTAAGTGAATGTAGTACCAGATAAATTTTCTGTGAGAGCTTTTATAAAAAAAAAATATTGTACCAACATTTATCATGATTTCTGTTCGGTGAGCTACTGAGATGTATTTACAATTGCACTTGGTGCTTTAACGATTGATTTGGCTTATTTAGAGGGATAGTGGAGCATCCAGCTTTTTCAAGGTACAATATATTTGTAAGACTGGTACCAAGTGCTTCTAACATCAACCCTGTTTAGCACTTCATTTTTCCACTTCATTTTGTAATCCTGGGGAGAATGGATTTGGGGGCAATCGTGTGGGTTACATTGCCAGTCCTCCACATTCACTGGGGTTAGGGGTAGAACTGGGGTGATACAGAACATACTATTATACTCTTAGATGTGTGTGGATGTCATAGTTGTTCTCCCTCATCCTTTCACCCTAGTTCTACCCCTATTCCCCATATCAATGGTTCCCAACCTTTTTTTGACCAGGGACCACTTTGACCAGGAACTACTTGACCAGGGACCACTTTGAACAGGAACTACTCTCCAACATTAGTACCAAAAGGGTTATACATTGGTTTTTGGTCAACCTTAGATTCAGTTTGGTTATTTGGGTGCTGATTCATAAAACTGTATTGGATAGACCACATCAGCTCTAGCTTCTGATACAGAACATATGCCATCCAGTAGTCACCATCTGCTCACCCACAGAAGCCATATTTAATAAGCCTTGTCACTATAAGAGGGTTTTGCAAGACCTGACGCTCTTGTTGCAATGGTGTAGTAGCGATGAGGCCATGGACCCTATTTTAGTTCTTGCAGACTGCTGGTGGTCCATGGACCACAAGTTGGGAACCACTGCCTTGTATAAATGGGATGAATGATAAGGGAGAACAAAGACGATATCCACACGCATCTAAGTGTATAATAACATATTTTGTGATATTGTTCCAGTATAAATGCTTCTTGGAACAAGACATTTTGACATGTTTATTTGTATTTACAAAGGAATTTATTTCCAAATCTGATCTAGGATGTTCTAATCTGTTTGTTTTACCATAACCACACCAAAGGAACAAATTTTACAGATAGTAAGACTGATGCTCAATATATCCCTTTCATCTTGTACTAACTTAATGAAACATTCTGGGTTACACCCCCTGAATCTACTGAAATTGATGGATATTTGTATTTTAACTTCCTTTTGTTCATCTTTCACTTCTGACATCTATTCAAACGTGATGTTTAAACAAGACGACAGATGAAAAGTGTAAATTGTAATCAGAAAGGAACAGCGATGCTGCTCGTTTTGAATCATAAGACATTTCAAATCTCTCTGCTATCACCAGTATGTTTGGAAGGGTTCATGTACTAGAAACAAAGAGCCCCAAAAGTCAGCGGTAGGTGAATACCATCTGAAGGTCTGGCTCTCATTCTTTTCTTTCTGGACCACATTTGCTGCAGATAAGGGACCGTCTTTATCAGGAACAGCAGTCCCATTGCTCTGAGGTGGAAAGAATGAGGAGAGAAATCTCTGACCTGACAGAAGAGCTTCATCAGAAGGAGATTACTATAGCAACTATCATGGCGAAAGCGGCTCTGCTGGAAAGACAGTTACAAATGGAGTTAGAGATAAAAGAGAAAATGTTAGGAAAACAACAGGTATGCAAACAGAATAAAAAGTGGCCCAGATCACTTGGTCATTATAGAGATTAGCACTTATTGAAGTCTGGAAAAGCGATTCCTTTACAGAATCTAAGAAGCAAAACAAATGAGACGATCTTACATAACACTAATAAGCCCAAACCATGCAAAGGCAAATAATCAAAACTTGTGTGGGGTTACAATTATTTTAAAATTTCCTAATATTGCTGTCTGCTTTCTCTTTGTAATACTGGGATTTCTTAACAATGTATTTCTTAATAAGCAGAATATTTCAAAGACGACACCTGGAATACTGTGCCAAATTCTGGGCACCACAGTTGAAGGGAAATATTGACTCTAAGGTGGAATGTGTCCAGAGACGGGTGACTAAAATGATCAAGGGTCTGGAGAACAAGTCCTATGAGGAGTGGCTTAAAGAGTTGGGCATGTTTAGCCTGAAGAAGAGAAGGATGAGAGGAGACATGATGAGACATGATGAGGGCCATGTATAAATATCTGAGAAGAAGTCACAGGGAGGAGTGTGGAGGCTTGTTTTCTGCTGCCCCGGAGGCTAAGATGCAGAACAACAACAAGAAAGAAGATTCCACCTGAACATTAGGAAGAACTTCCTAACTGTGAGAACTGTTCAGCAGTGGAACTCTCTGCCCCAGGATGTGGTAGAGACAGGATGGCCATCTGTAAGGGGTGCTTTGAATGCAATTTTCCTGCTTCTTGGCAGGGAGTTGGACTGGATGGCCCCCGAGGTCTCTTCCCCCTCTATGATTCTATAAAGTTTACTTAAGGGCAGTATTCCCATATGGTTAACAATATTTTCCTAATACTTAGCTTTTAAACATTTAAATACTATTTTAAGATACACTATTGAAATTGCTTGTGAGTGTATGTGCTTTTGAATACTCTTTATATTACAAAAGGAGATAGGCTTACAGAAACGTAGTCCTTCAAGGAGAGATGAAACTCTTCCTCCCAGGGGAAAAAAGTGGTTTTCTTCAAGAGGGAATAATTTTTAGACTGGTCAACATCTGAGCATATGATTTCTTACCTGCAGCCTGAAATGACAACGTACTATTTCGGTACATTTGAGCCAAAATAGCATTTCAGAGCACAGGTGGAAAATCATGTTTTCACCAGCATGTCCTGTGGGAGTTGTTCTCACATTGTATGATCTCACAGAGAGTGAGCACGTAGCACAGGAGCATGGCTACACGGGTAGGAATCACATTTTGCAGGCAACGTGCTGCTGGAGACTTAATTTCTTTATTTATTTGATTTACTCCTGTCTTTCTCTCAAAATGAGACCCATCCCTTTGGGACTGCACCAGTGAAACCAATGTCCCGGGAGGCTTCTTCTCTTTGGACATGTTGAGTGGTGGATGATTTTGTTGCTAGATTTTTTACAAAAATAAATGAAGGGAAGTCATCTTGTGATAGATACTATAGGGAAGAGCTATAATGAAAACTACATGACAAAATGTTGGAGGCACTCATGGTGAGAACTGCAACCCCTTGACACCTCTATTTTTGGCCAGGTGAAGGACATACTATGAGGCACACACGCAGACCTTGCTTACATATTATGAAAGTAAATGCATACACATTGTTTTGTGAAGACATCACCACTGATAGGAAATCTGGCTATGGGAGAAAGATTGGTAGGTCTTCAGATTTGGGTAGAATCATGGAGTCATAAGAGTTGGAGGAGACCGAAAGAGCCGTCCAGTCCAGATGACTGTGAATACAAATATGTGAGACACAATCCTTGGAGGCATATCATTCCAGGGAAAGGGGGGTGGGTGGATTATGACTTTGTTTCCACTACTTCTTCTCACTGGCCTTGGAGCTCCTGGCCATCTTAAGAGTCCCTACTGACACCAAAATGGAATACCAATACAACTTCCTATTTCCTGATTGTGCAGATGCTTCTGCCATCATTGGAATGTAGTGCCTACATGACCAGGAATAAGGAGAGGAGATTTATTTATTTACTTACGTCATTTAGATAATGCTTTTCTTACCTCGAGGCAGGGGGGACGACTCAAAGTGGTTTCTAACATAATCACAGCAAAATTCACTGTCTCGCATACATATGAAAAACCTAACATGAAACAACAATAACATATGACTATCAATTAAATCATAAAACATAATAACATTTAGATATTAAAACGGGAGGTTAAAAACATATTAATGTAAGCACATTGAAATCGCATAGTCCAGAAATCACAGTCCAAGGCCATTCCAATATCAAATATCAATTGCCCATAATCCCTGTTCATTCCTTGTATTGCTTACTGCCCAAAGCCTCCCACAGCCATGTTTTTTCTGAAGACCAAGAGGGAGGGCACTGATCAAATTGTGTTGGGGAGGGAGTTCCATAGTCGAGGAGCCACCACTGAGAAGGCCCTATCTCTCATTCCCAACAATAGCACGAGAGTAGGGCCTCCTCAAATGATCTTAACCTCTGAGATGGTTCATAGAGGGAGTTACGTTTGGACAGGTAAGATGGCCCGGAACTGTTTTGAGCTTTATAGGCTAAAGCCAGCACTTTGAATTGTGCTCAGTAACAGACTGACAGCCAGTGGAGCTATGCAACCATCATCAAGGAGATTGTTTCTTCCTTGATGCTGGTTCCACAGAAACCCTGTTCTGATGTTAGTAGGGGTTGCCATGATGGCAAGGGACTTGCACAGAGCTAGGAGGAGGAGCAATGACATAGAAAAGAGATATTTACTGCCCCAGAGGACAGATTGTATAAAATAACAGGCTCAGATTTGGCACTAATGTGCCGGATCTGATGCTGCCCCAGGGCTATACTATTCTGTGTAGACAAATCCCATGACTCTGAAGTCTGAGGATTGACTCTTTGCTTGGCCATGAAAACCCATTGTGTAACCTTGGGTGAGTCACACTTTCTCAGTCTCGGAGGAAGACAGTGAAGGCCAAGAAAACCCACATGATAGGGCCACCATAAATTGGAAATAAATAAACAACTACAATGGTGAGTGAACTCTTACCTTTCTGCTGTTGGATGGCTGACAAGGTAATGTGCTACGTGCCTTGTAAGTTGAAAAAAATGCAAAATTGTTTCACAGTGCCAATTTTATGAGTTGTAAAACCATCCCGTTTCCCTGAAGTAAATAATTTTAGATCATTATGGCTGTCATTTGAAATACTGTACCTTAGCCTCAAACAGAAGTTTTACTAGACCAGCCCATAAAGCGGCAGCTTTCGGCTTGGAGGGAAAATGCAGTCAAAATAATATGTTTGTCCTTAACAGACAATAATAGAGCTTTGGACAGCACAGCGCCATTCATTTTATGTCTGCTATGGATGAGATAAAGTGAAAACCTGGAAAAAAATGTTTTTATGAAGGGCTTTCCCCCCACTAAAACAACAGAAGTGAAAACCAGTTTCTGCTTATTGTGAGGGAGATTGTGAAGTAAATAGGTTCTGAACTATTATCTTAAACTTGTCCTCTAAACAATACATTCTGCAGAACTCAGAGAATCTTATATTTGAAACAACGTCCTTAAAACTGTACTGTAAAACTATTCAGGCACACAAAATGCTTTAAGCTTATATCCAACATTCTTAACAATGTTGTACCTCACCTCGAGCCACAAGGAGAGACAGGTAATAAATGTATTATTATCATCATCATCACCATCATCATTACCATAATCACAATGTAATGATATCAGGGTAATGCAAGAGAGCAATTCAAGCTACTCTTCTAAAACTCTTACCAAAATGTGGGAAATTAATCACATTATGTCCTTGATTCATAACATATTACATAATTTATAAAATACCTATTACATAATCATTCTATTAAATATAATATTGGGTTGTTGTAGGTTTTTTCAGGCTATATGGCATTCTCTCCTGACGTTTCGCCTGCATCTATGGCAAGCATCCTCAGAGGTAGTGAGGCATATTTGTCACAAATCTTTATTTCCACCCCACGAGATGCCTGAATCAAGGGAACGTTCTAATCTAAACCCAATTTCTTTAAATAGCTTAATAGTGAGGTGGACCAAAAGGCAATATTTTGTGTCGGAATTTTGTTGGTAGTCATTTATTTATTTATTTATTTCATGTCAAAAGCATTGCACAAATAAATAAGTTTGAAACTGCTAAAATAAATGGATCACAAGCAGTTAAATAGTTTTAGACCAAAAATGGGCAACAGCGACTGCACTGTCTATAAAACTATAGTTTTAAACAGTTCTTCCTCTGTGCTTGAGGCAGGGCATTGTGGACAAGCATACAGATGCTGAGTCATTTGTTCTGCTCCACAGTCGCACAAGGTGGAGGATTTTTCTAGGTAGTGCCATTTAACCAGGTTGTCTTTTGATCTGCCAACTCCCCTTCTGAGTCTGTTCAGGGACTTCTTGATCTCCCCCTGGAGGAAGATCCTTGTGGGGGCCATCCAGTTGGAATTGCTTGATTTTGCTGCCCACAGGGATATTCTTGCTGTTGCTGGAGCAACATTTAGAGGAGTGGTGGTTCTCATGAAACTTTTCCTTGATTTAAGTTTACTGGGAGGAGGCTGGTAGCCATACAGTGGGTGGCTTTCATGGTGTTCAGCCTTATTTCTCTCACAATTGGCAGCAACTTCCTGTTGTACATCGAGGGGGGGGGGGCAATGCCAGCTAACTTATCGTTCACTTTATGGGGTTTACATATGTCCTGACTTACTATTAGACAATAGTATCAATGTAAATCCCAACTTTCATTTATTCTACTTCTAAAAACATAACAATAGAGCTGACATTTATAAATATTAGTAGTGTACAAGGGAGCCCAGTGTCAACATGAAATTCAGGTAACTCACACAGCATTCCTATTGCTTTTTGGTGCAAAGAGCTCACTTGTGGGTTAGCTTCCTTTACTGAAATGAAGATAGTAACAACAAGTGCCCATGCAGAACCTCAGGGTCTTGAACACCCTGTACAAAGTGTATTACACTCTATATGCAATTGATTTCAGTGGGACTTTGATATTGAGGATTAGGTATAACTTTACAGCTTTGGGTGATTCAACAAATTATTACTTTTACAATAAATGTTATCCAACTTCTTTCTCTAGATGAAAGTAAAAAATGGATTGTAGTCCCTGTTGGCTGCTGGGACTAATCCAGCCAAAATGAAGGCATGCGTCAAGACACTCAAAAGGTGGTGGTTTTATTGGTTAAAAAGCCCAGGATGTTTCAGTTAATGGTTATTCTTAAAGCCTTCTTCGGGGATTATTGAGAATATACCTTCAAAAATATCTGCATCAAGAATTCTCAAAACTATTTCCTGGACAAATGTATACACAGGGCAAAATATACTGGGCTTGTAAACCAATAAAATCACCATCTTTTGAGCATCTCCATCTACAGATTTCAGTTTCTGCCTCCACCTCAAAAAGAAAGCATTTTTCAACCTGTGGCTCCAGTGGAGGTTTCTCAACCTGGGGGTCAGGACCCCTGGGGGAGTCACAAAGGGGTTTAAGAGGGCTTGCCAAAAACCATCAGAAAATGGCAGAGAAGGCTGAAGATCTCTCTGCCTGTTCTTCTCTTCCTTTTGGGAAACAGACGGTGAAACCGCCCACCAAAAGTCCTCCTCCACCATGATTGGCCGGCCTCTCAGCCAAGGGGAAATAACCCGTTTCTGAAACTCCAAGCAGGGATGGAAGAGCAGGCATGCTTGGTGCATGGCAGCGTGGTGCGCATATATGGGCAAGGGAGAGCGTGTGAGGTTGAAGGGAAGCTCATATCAGTGAGTCCTTTCAAGGCATGGGGTTACTGTGTGGGAAGTTTGGCCCAATTCTATCGCTGGTGGGGTTCAGAATGCTCTTTGATTGTAGGTGAACTATAAATCCCAGCAACGACAACTTCCAAATGTCAAGGTCTAATTCCCCCAAACACCACCAGTGTTCACATTTGAGCATATTGAGTATTCATGCCAAATTTAGTCCAGATCTATCATTGTTTGAGTCCACAGTGCTCTGTGGATGTAGGTGAACTACAACTTCAAAACTAAAAGTCAGTGCCCACCAAACCCTTCCAGTATTTCTGTTGGTCATGGGAGTTCTGTGTGCCAAGTTTGGTTCAATTCCAATGTTGGTGGAGTTCAGAATGATCTTTGATTTTAGGTGAACTATAAATCCCAGAATCATAGCGTTGGAAGAGACCTCATGGGCCATCTAGTCCAACCCCCTGCCAAGAAGCAGGAATATTGCATTCAAAGCACCCCTGACAGATGGCCATCCAGCCTCTGTTTAAAAGCTTCCAAAGAAGGAGCCTCCACCACACTCCAGGGCAGAGAGTTCCACTGCTGAACGGCTCTCACAGCCAGGAAGTTCTTCCTCATGTTCAGATGGAATCTCCTCTCTTGTAGTTTGAAGCCATTGTTCCACGTCCTAGTCTCCAGGGAAGCAGAAAACAAGCTTGCTCCCTCCTCCCTGTGGCTTCCCCTCACATATTTATACATGGCTATCATATCTCCTCTCAGCCTTCTCTTCTTCAGGCTAAACATGCCCAGCTCTTTAAGCCGCTCTTCATAGGGCTTGTTCTCCAGACCCTTTATTTATTTATTTATTTATTTATTTATTTATTTATTTAGCAGTTTTGTATACCAGTCTTCTCACCTCTATCGAGGGACTCAGGCCGGTTTCCAACAATAATATCACAAACAGTCATTAAAACATCATATTACATATTAAACTAAAAACATTAAAATAGCAAAATACAGTCATATGATTACAATGGTCAGTCGTCACAATAAAATGGTTGTTCGTCATCATCCATCGATATCACAAAATATTGACTCACTCGTCGAATGCCAATTTCCAGAGCCAAATTTTCACCTGTTTTCTGAACGTCAAGATCATTTTAGTTGCCCTCCTCTGGACACGTTCCAGCTTGTCAATATCTCTCTTCAATTGTGGTGCCCAGAATTGGACAACTCCTAAATAACAAAATCATCTACAACTCCTAAATAACAAAATCAATTCCCAACCCCACCAGTGTTCAATTTTTGGCATATCAGTTATTTGTGCCAAATTTGGTCCAGTGAATGAAAATACACCCTTCATATCCGATATTTACATGATGATTTGTAATAGTAGCAAAATTACTGTTCTGAAGTAGCAACAAAAATAATTTTCTGGTTGGGGGTTACCACAACATGAAGAAATGTATGAAGGGATTGCGGCATTAGGAAGGTTGACAAACACATTAATCTATTGATAAATCTGCCTAATTTAAATCAGTGAAATCTAAGTCTTGACTGTTTTTCCATTGGCTTACCAGCAGACTTTTCAAATGTTTGACTTAAGGCCCTTCCACACAGCCCTATATTCCAGAATATCAAAGCAGAAAATCCCACAATATCTGCTTTGAACTGGGTTATTTGAGTCCACACTCCGATAATATGGGATTTTCTGCCTTGGTATTCCTTGTTATAGGGCTGTGTGGAAAGGCCCTTAGAGTCACTCTTTTTAATCAGCACAGTAACAGGGTTTTTAAATCAATGGGGTTTATCTCATGCTTCATTTTCCTTCTCACTACAACGACCCTGTGATTTTGTAGCTGCATAGATTTTTGAAAGAATCATGGTGTAATGACCAGCATTTTTCGATGCTTTCCTTTTCTGAAAACATGACCCGAGGGAGCACTGTAATGAAAATATTTACAAATCTGGCATCTCAGAATCCTTTTATGCCTTTTAAAGACCTCTAAAGCAGGTCATTCAACTATGCTGAATGATTTTTGTGGTTTTTTAGAAAAGCATGGTTAAATGCATGGTCCATTGAACAACTGTAATATGTTTCTGCGTTGTATGGTCTATTATGCTTTCAGCACTTGCATTTGCTGTTTTCACTGACAATTCCACTGACATTATCATTTACTAAAATCGCTGTGTGGTTGCAAATGGTAAATAAATGGCAAAAATGTTGTCCTGCCCCCTTCTTCATTAAGTTGTGTTAATTCAATAATAACAAAGCTGTAAATCAACTCATTTCCATTCCTTAATTATTATTTTTCTCAACAGATGTTAGATCTGACTAAGAAAGAATCCAAGACCTATTGGGATTCCTCAAATAGAGCTCCACATGAGAATGAAAGGTTTCACAGTGAATTTGTTAACTTGCCAAAGGACTCCGATATACCTTTGCTGGTGAAGCCGATTCCATATTTTGGAACAAATCTTGCCAGTCCAACATCAGTAAAAATGCAAGAGAAGAAAGAGAAGTAGGTACATGATTATGCACTTGGTGTCCTTTTTGTTTCCCTACATGCTTCAATAGGGAGAAGGAGAGATTAATTTTATTGTTAACATAAGTATTATCTGTGTTGTCGAAAGCTTTCGACTCAGGGAGCATACAACTCCTCTGTTGCGCCAGCTCCACTGGCTGCCAATTTGCTACCGCCTTTAAAGCCCTAAACGGTTCTGGCCCGACGTATCTGTCCGAACGCATCTCCTCCTATGAACCAGTTAGGACGTTAAGATCGTCTGGGGAGGCCTTCTCTCAGTCCCGCCGGCTTCACAAGCACGCCTGGCGGGGACGAGAGACAGGGCCTTCTCAGTAGTGGCCCCCCAGCTGTGGAACGCCCTTCCTACAGACATTAGATCGGTCCCCTCCTTATTGGCATTCAGGAAGAGAGTGAAGACCTGGCTCTTCAAACAGGCTTTCAACTAAGCAGTGCAATTGATTGATTACTGGAATATGGATTAATGGACAACGAGATCGGATGCTGATTCTATTGATGAGACGTGATGGATTGTTGTTTTCCTGTATTGTTGTATTGATGTTAATTAATTGATATTACTGTTTTAAATGACTAATGATTTTGTACTGTATTGTTGATACTGGTTGTTAACCGCTCTGAGTCGCCGCTGGCTGAGAAGAGCGGTATACAAGTGAAGTAAATAAATAATAAATAAATAAGCTTTCGTGGAATCACTGGGTTGAGTTTTCCAGGCTGTATAGCCATGTTCCAGAAGCTTTCTCTCCTGATATTTCACCCACATCTATGGCAGGCATCCTCAGAGGTTGTGAGGTCTGTTGGAAACCAGCTTGATTAACATTGTATAGCCTTGCAGTTTCAAAGCCTGGCTGCTGCCTGGGGGAATCCTTTGTTGGGAGATGTTAGCTGGCCCTGATTGATTCTTGTCTGGAATTCCTCTATTTTTTGAATGTCGCTTTTTATTTACTGTCCAGATTTTAGAGTTTTTGAATACTGGTAGCCAGATTTTGTTCATTTTCATAGTTTCCTCCTTTCTGTTGAAAATGTCCACATGCTTGTGGATTTCAATGGCTTCTCTGTGTAGTTTGACATGGTGGTTGTAAGAGTGGTGCAGCATTTCTGTGTTCTCAAATAATATGCTGTGTCCAGGTTGGTTCATCAAGTGCTCTGCTGTGCTCAGGTTGGTTCATCAAGTTGGTTCATCAAGTGCTCTGCCCAGTTTCCAACAGACTTCACAACCTCTGAGGTGTTAGCTGGCCTTGATTGTTTCCTGTCTGGAATTCCCCTGCTTTTTGAGTGTTGTTCTTTATTTACCATCTTGATTTTAGAGGGTATTTTTAAAAATACTGGTAGCCTTCTCCTTTTCGTGGTTTTCTCCTTTCTGTTGAAATTGTCCACATGGTTTTGGTTTTGAAGCTACAAGGTCATTAAATGCTAATCAAGGTGGCCAATTGCAACATTCACACTTGCCTCAAGCAGACAAGAGTTCTTTCTCCCACCCGGGGCATTCCACAGATATATAAACCTCACTTGTCTAGTTTCCAACAGATCGCACAACCTCTGAGGATGCCTGCCATAGATGTGGATGAACAGCAAGAAAGAATATTTCTGGAACATGGCTATACAGCCTGGAAAACTCACAGCAACCCAATAAGTATTATCTTCCAAGCACTCAATCTGATCCAAAATTCTACCTCTATTTCAACCAACCAGATTTTTCCAAGGCCAATGAAATACTGCCATGAAGTATTTTTCTTTCTTATTCAATATGAAAAAATGGAGTATTCAGATGGGAATGTATTAAGAGCATACTAAACCGAAGTGTGAGGGAACAGAATAGCACAAAATATAAAGTTATCATGTGCTCAATAGAATGAAATAATTTGCAACTATAACACTACATTTCCATTCTTTTACAATCAGTCACATAGATGATTACATAAACACTGATATGCATTGTTTAAAAATAATCCCCAACCATTTCTTAGCATGGCAGAGAACCAGATCTAGTTCAGGTTCCATGAAGTATTTTAAATGGAGGCATAAAGAACGCACACCTTGACACAGTTCAGGGGAAGCTGCTTGTTGGATATGTTCCAAAAATTTCCAACTTCTTGTTTCGCACCCAGAACTTTACTATCTTGAGCAACATAAGCATGATCATAAGTAATTGTGATGATTATTAAATGAAAAGGTGATAGTGGGTGGTCTTTTCCTCCACTGCAACCATGACTCTTTTTACAAGTTGATTTTCACTTGAAGGCAACCATGGAGTACCCAAAAGATTTCATGATTTTTGCTTTATTTAAATCATATGCATGCAAACACACTCTGGTCGGCTCATCAGGTCTCAGGGTTGTATCTCAGGGCACAGCCTGGGGATCACAACCAGATACAGTGAAGACATCTGCCCTTGCGCTCTGCTATTCTGCTGCTGAGTACGCATGCCCAGTATGGAATATATCTCACCATGTTAAAACAGTGGCTAGAGTTCTTAATGAGACATGCCGCATTATCACAGGCTGTCTATGTTCTACACCACTGGAGAAATTATACCTGATCTCCACTGGGAAATAGCAGCCAGCAATGAAAGGACCAAGGCATTGACATCTCTGGCCCATCCTCTGTTTGGATATCAGCCAGCATGCCAATGACTTAAATCAAGAAACAGCTCCCTAAAATCTACAGAGATACTCGCAGGAATACCTCAGCAAGCGAGAGTCCAAAAGTGGCAGGTAAAAACCCAGAATCTCAATCAGTGGCTGATATTGGATGAGAAACTCCCTCCTGGGCACACAGAAGGCTGGGTGACTTGGAAGGTACTAAACATACTGCTCTCTGGCACCACGCTAAAACAGTGGATGTGGTTCCGCATTATCACGGTGTGTCTGCACCCTACACCACTGGAGAATTTACACTGTTTAGCCAGCATTGCACCACCTGACGTCCGCCGGGAAGTAGCAGCCAATAGTGAAAGGACCAAGGCAGTGACATCTCCAGCTCATCTCTTGTTTGGGTATCAGCTAGTACATCAACGACTTAAATCAAATCGTTTTCTAAGATCTACAGAGACACTCGCTGGAACACCTCAGCAAGCGAGAGTCCAAAAGTGGCAGGCTCAAACCCAGAACCTCAATCAATGGCTGATACCAAATGAGAGACCCCCCTGGGCACACAGAAGACTGGGCGACTTGGAAGGCGCTGAACAGACTGCGCTCTGGCACCACGAGATGCAGAGCCAACCTCAAGAAATGGGGCTACAAAGTGGAATCCACAACATGTGAGTGTGGAGAAGAGCAAACCACTGACCACCTGCTGCAATGCAACCTGAGCCCTGCCACATGCACAATGGAGGACCTTCTTGCGGCAACACCAGAGGCACTCCAAGTGGCCAGCTACAGGTCAAAGGACATTTAATCAACTACCAAGCTTGCAAACTCTGTCTTGTCTGTTTGTTAAAAAATGTAATACAAATGTCTGGTTGCTACTGACACGATAGATAAATAAATAAATAAGCAGTCCTCTCTAACTCAGGATGCAGGCCCATCATTGGATAAAGTGAAAATCACATCTCATAAACACCTCTGAAGTAGAAGCTTCGGTAGAAGTGTTGTGGGGCCTGGAAAAGATGTTCTGAGGGCTGGCAGTGAACGTTCCAACAGTAAAATGGGGCTTTGAAGAGCTGGAAGACATAGAGGGAATGGCACCAATTGCTGCAGCTACTGTGCATATTTTTCTAGCTGCCAAATGAGTTTTCTCTTTGGTTTTTGGCTACCATATTTCCAGATCTGCCAGACTGTATCTATTCTAGGCCCACGTACCTGGATTGCTTTCATACCCATTTCTTTCATACCCATTTCTCAGTTTACTGAGAAGCAGTTCTAGCCTGTCTCCTAACCTTTGGCTGCTCTGCCTGTGTAACAGCACAACAACCCGCCCATCCCAGATGTTTTGGCCCTCAAAAATGAACGAGTAGGATACCACTGAGCTGGTAAACAGTGTTTGTTTTGCAAAGTAGGGCAAATGACAACTCTGGTGACATTGGAGGAATTTACATGGGGAAAGTGACATGGAAAACTAAATATAAACATCCCATCCCTAAATATAAATATCCCATATCTTCTTTTTCGTGACTTTAAATAAAATGATGATACAGATTACTGATCTTTTGCATAATGTAGCCTTCAGTTCTAACAAATCCTATTCACATATTTTGAGGGTGTGTATTTCCAAGTGGTTTCTCTGACTTAGGATGACCATAAGGCAAATATATTACAGGTTTTATAAGTTACTAGCTGTGCCCTGCCACGCGTTGCTGTGGCCTATAGTAAGAGTTTTGAAGTCTCTGCCTGGCCTCACTTCCTCATTTCTTCTCTCTTCCTTTCTTCTCTTGCTCTCTTTCCCTCTTTCTCTCTCACACACTCCTTCCTTTCCCCTCTTTCTCTCTCTCTCTCTCTCTCTCTCTCTCTCGCATCCCTCCTTCCTCCCCCTTCTTTATGCTTGTGTGTAAACTTGAGTATTTTCTGTTGGTCATGGGGGTTCAGTGTGGCAAGTTTGCCCCAATTCTGTCGTTGGTGGGGTTCAGGATGCTCTTTGAGTGTAGGTGAACTGTGAATCCCAGTGACTACAACTCCCAAATGTCAAGGTCTATTTTCCCCAAACTCCATCTGTGTTCATATTTGGGCGTATTGAATGCTTATGCCAAGTTTGGTCCGGATCCATCATTGTTTGAGTCCACAGTGCTGTCTGGATGTAGGTGAACTACAACTCCCAAACTCAAGGTCAATGCCCTCCAAGCCTTTCCAGTATTTTCTGTTGGTCATGGGAGTTCTGTGTGCCAAGTTTGGTTCAATTCCATCATTGGTGGAGTCCAGAATGCTCTTTGATTGTAGGTGAACTATAAATCCCAGGAACTACATCTCGCAAATGACAAAATCATAATTGTTTGAGCAGAGGCGGCCCTAGGTAATTTTCAACGGTAAGCAAACAGTATTTTGGCGCCC